TGGGCACTAGATAATAATGGTGGCAATAATGACACCCTATGGAGGCTGGAAATGAGGCAAAAGGTCCCCAGTTTCCTAATTTAGTAGCAATTTCTAACATTTCTGTTCATTTAGTGTTGTTGCTCTTCAGTTATTTCAGTCATGTCCCACTTTTTGTGACTCCATTTAGGGTTTTGTTAGCAAAGATACTGGAGTGGTTTGCCATTTCCTCCTCCAGCTCATTTTACAGATGAGGAAACTGAGGCAAATAGGGTTAAGTGACTTGCCCAAGGTCTCACAGCTAGTAAGTGTCTGAGACTGGATTTAAACTCAGGTCTTCCTGACTCCAGGCCCTGTGCACTATGGTGCTACCTAGCTGCCTTTTATAACAAGATACAGAGTAAGAGCATATGACATAGTGGATTAAGAGCTGGCTTTGGAGTCAGGAAGCTGTGGGTTCAAGTTTAGTCTCTGACACATACATGGCTATGTGTTCCCAGAGAAGTCAATAAACTCAATGGCCCCAGCCAAGAAGCATGGACAGAGGTTCTCATTAGGAACTCTAGTTCCAATGAAATTATGTTGTTGTTGTTGGGGCTGCTAGGTGGTGCCATAGTGCACGGAGTGCTGGGCTTGGAGTTAGGAAGGTTCATCTTCCTGAGCATAAATCTGGCCTCAGACACTGACTACCTGCGTGACCCTGGGCATGTCACTTAACCCTGTTTGCCTCAGTTTCCTCATGTGTAAAATGAGCTGCAGAAGGAAATGGCAAACCACTCCAGTATTTTTGCCAAGAAAACCCTAAATGGGGTCACGAATCAGACACAATCGAAAACAACTGAACAACAATTCCAATGAAATTATGGGTCCAGTCCAAAATATATATATATGGCATTTATTCAACAAGGATACTGCTATGTCAATATTAACCATGGAGAGGGGAAAAAGCTTAGAAAATGTATTATCTCCCCCTTTTTGGCTTTGCTTCAGAATTCTCACTAGCCTGTTTTTCACTTAGGAATATTTTCTTTTTTAATATCTATTCTTTTATTTTGAGTTCCAAATTCTCTCCCTCCCTTCACACACACACCCCCACCCACTGAGAAGGCAAGAAATACAACACCCATTATGCATTTGAAGTCATGCATAATTTAAAAAAAAATTTATTTGGAATGTTCTCTCAGTGACACCATAGCAACTAGTGAGCAGCTATGCAAATCTCTAGTTTTACCCAACAGATATGTTCCTAAAAAGTTGGGTGAAAATAACATTTGTGTAAGTCATATCTGATTTTCCCACTGAGTTGCCTTATTACTTTGGAGGATGCTTTATTATTCTTCTGGATTGATCATTGCTACTCCAGCTTTCAGTTACATGAGTCCACAATTCTAGTTTCTCTGTCCCGTAGTTAATGATCAAAGAGTGAGTTTAAATCCCAACTCAGTCACTTAACTTACTGTGAGGCTTTGGCCAAGTCACAGAGCTCTTGAATCCTCTGTTTTCTCACCTACAAATGAAGCAATGCAAAAGCCTTTACTAAGTGCTTACTATGTGCAAAGCTCTGTCTTTGTGCATCTGAATGCAACAAAGTTCCTCTGGTGTCTGGAAGGTCACTTTTAAATAGGAGAAGATGACAAGATGTGCAAGTTTCAGGTACAAGTCAGATGGAAAGGCCCCGTGGTCCTTAGACTGTCGTTTCCTTCGGCAAAAACGTGTCTGTTCCTGATGTCAAATTGTTTGCCAAGGACAAGTGAAGACTTTCTTTTCTGGGTCTTTGAGAGCTGTGGCTGTGAAGCAAATGGGGGCTTCAGCACCTGCAGGGGCAATGGACAGATTCCATTTTCATAAGAGTAGCACCCCTAGACGATAGTTACTGGGTCTGTGCTGAAAGTAGTACCAGGGACCTGGGAGGGCACAGATATCTCTGGGGTTCTTGGGTGTAGGGTCCTAGGATATTTAGAACTAGAGTCTGGGGAAAAGAGATGGTCAAGGTGATAGCAGTGGTTTCTTCTACCTGGCTTATTCCACCCCTGGCTCTCCTTTCTTCTTTGCTACCCCATCCAGAGAGTACTGGCTGTTCAGGACCTTACTTGGCTGTCCATTGGTAGCAGATGGTTCAGCAGTTGGAACTAATGATGGTGAGGATGGCAAGCTCCTTCTCCATTAGGGTTGTCCCAGTGGATGATGGCTGTGGGGGCCAGGTGGGAAGAAGGGCTGATTGGTGGTCTGGAGAAGCATTACTATGCCTGAAGTCCTTGGATTTGTATGTTCATTGGTGGCAGGTGGTGGTGGTGGTGGTGGTGAGATAGCAGAATCTTTCCCCACAAACGTTGTTCCCATCAGTGATGCGGACAGGACAGAGGCACGGCCGGTGGTCAGGAGTGGGAAGGAGTTCTATTTCTAGGGCTCTTTGACTTAACCTATGACAGGAATTCTGTATTATGCACAAAGCTGAAAATACATTAGAATCTAAGTCCCCTTTTCTCACAGTTCCCATTTCGAGAAAGGGGTGGGACTGGATGATCTCTAAGATTCTTTCCATCTCTAACATTTATCTGTGAATACATACATACATATATATTTATGTATGTATATACTATATATAGTATATGTATATACTACGTATAACTCTCTCTATACACACACACACACACACACACACACACACACACACACACGAATGCATGCATATCAGGAGGTGACGTCTAAAGAAACCTGGGAGCAAATACTCATAAAAGACAAAAAAAACCTTTTTTTCATGAGAAAAATTAAATGTGGTGGTGATGAATCTTTCTGAGTTTGTGTCGTCATATTTTCATTGTCCTTGAAGCAGACACACTTGCATAAATTCCTTTGGATTGTTTTGGTTTGGGTTGTTTAAGTGTTTTATTTTTGTCTCTTTTTTTAACCCACAAATGCTTGGTTTTTAATCCTAATATTTTCTCATTTCATCTGGCTTTTTAAAAGGGAGTGCTAGAATTATTATTACTAGTACATATTGGTAGGCTGGCATCTTGAAGAAGGACACTGATAAGGATGGATTTTGGAATTTTATCTATAACTTTCACTTCTTTTTCGATTTTTTATTTGTAGGGTGGGCATTAGATTACAAGCTCCTTGAAGTCAGGGACTATCTTTTGCTTCTTTTTGTAAACCCACTGTTTGACGTAGTGCTTGGTAGGTACTTAATTAATGTTTATTGAATGAATGAATGAGCTCCAACAATGAGATTGACTAACTTCAAGTTACCAGAAGGCAAAGACTATTTATGTCATCTTTCGTATTGCTATCCCCGGAACTAATACTGTCTTGGACATAGCAGGTACTCAGTAAATGAATGAATAAGTGAATGAGTGAATGAATGAAATATAAAATCTGAATTCCAGTAACTGGAATTTGACCTAATACATCCAGTCTTTTATTGATTTATATACATTAATCAATATATTTATGTATAGCAAGAGAGTCAGTTTCTCAAGCTTTCTGTTATAACTGGCATAAAACATTTGTTCAGAATTAACAGAAGTTTATTACTTCCATGTTTTCAACTCTTTTGGCCAGCTCTGTAAATGAAAGCTACTCTTCTGTGATCAAAGCAACTAGAGTTTTTAAAAGATTACCAGTTGCCACATAAAGGTGGAAAGAGTCCAAAGATGAAGCATTTGCTTCATCCTATGTCAGGAGGAATTTTGTTTTTGTTTTTCATAAGGACCAGTTAGTCTCTTAGGAAAGATTCCCTTTTGAGCTATTTCCTATTCTTCTATGGACTGTAGATACTTCAGAGAAATTCAATTTTGGAATAATACAGGGAGGTGATGATGAGGGAGTTTAATCACAGCAGGTTAAGATCACTTTTTAGGTCAAACTTATCACCCCCACTAGATCAAAACCCAGCAGCATCAAAACCAGCCTACTAAAGAAACTTCCCCAAAATTGGTAGCTAATTCACTTGTACCCACACAATGAGTCTCCTAATCCTGACACTTAGTAATTACATTTTCTGATAGGAAGGAGAAATTGGGGTGGAGAGAGTCTAATATCTAACCATTAACAGTTAGTTTAAGAATTATGATGGGGGAAGCTTTGCCATTGGTATCGCCTGGATCTCTGAGATCAGCAGCACAACTAGGGTGATCAAAGGCAGGTTAACAACAATGTGAATAAAGTGAATCTGGAGAGGCAACAAAACTCTGGTCAAATAAGGTGGTCACTGTTACAGAGATTAAAGATACTTCCCTCCTATCTGTCAACAACCAGTAAACATGGTTTTTTTAGGGGGGGGTATTTTTGTTGTTCAGTTGTTTTTCAGTCATGTCAAACTCTTCATGACCCTATTTGGATTTTTCTTGGCAAAGACACTGGAGTGGTTTGCCATTTCCTTCTCCGACTCATTTTACAGATAAGGAAATTGAGGCAAGCAGGGTTAAGTGACTTGCCAGGGTCATATAGTAAGTGTGTGAGGCCAGATTTGAACTCAGGAAAATGAGTCTTCCTGACTCCAGGCCCAGCACTCTATCCACTGTGCTACTTAGCTGCCTTTTTTTTTTTTAGCTAACATTTATGTAACACATTATGTACCAGGCACCAGTAGCTGCCAATTTTTTTAGCTGACATTTATATAACACTTATTATGTTATTATTATTAACACTGTGCTAAGCACTTTACAATTATTATTGCATTTGATTCTCACCTAATTTTTAGGTAGGTAGTAGTATTATCTCATTTTACAGATGAGGAAACTGAGGCAAACAAAGTTTAAGTGACACAGCTAAGAAGTATCTGAAGCTGGATTTGAATAGGTCTGGCACCCTATCCACTGTACCATCTAGCTACCTATGACCTATCTATCAATACCCTTTCTAAATAGGAAAATAAATTCCAGATTTAAAAAAAAAATCCCTAAATCTTCACTGATATCCTCTGGGATAAATGCTAAGATGTATTTTTATTGTAAATAGCTCAGGAAAAAAATTCATTATCTCTGACCATGCTAGTCACCATTTTCTTTTTGTCATTCCAGATGACAGTCATGTCCCACTCAAAGGACCTCAAAGATGACTTTCACAGTGACACAGTGCTCTCCATCTTAAACGAACAACGAATTCGGGGAATTTTATGTGATGTCACTATCATTGTAGAGGACACCAAATTTAAAGCCCACAGCAATGTCCTGGCAGCTTCAAGCCTTTATTTCAAAAATATATTTTGGAGCCGTACTATCTGCATTTCCAGTCATGTCCTGGAGTTGGATGACCTCAAGGCTGAAGTGTTTACAGAAATACTTAATTATATCTACAGTTCCACGGTTGTTGTAAAGAGACAGGAAACAGTGACTGATCTTGCAGCTGCAGGAAAAAAGCTGGGAATATCATTTCTGGAAGATCTTACAGATAGCAATTTCTCAAACTCTCCAGGTCCCTATGTATTTTGCATAACAGAGAAGGGTGTGGTTAAAGAAGAAAAAAATGAAAAACTATCTGAAGAACCAGCTATTGCCAATGGACCAAGGATCACAAATGCATTTTCCATCTTTGAAACTGAAAATAATAACAACATGTTTTCTCCCCTGGACTTGAGGGCAAGTTTTAAAAAGGTCTCAGATTCAATGAGAACATCGAGCTTTGGCCTAGAAAGGAATGATGTCTGCAATGAGGCTGAACCCGTCAGGACACTAGCGGAACATTCCTACGCTGTTCCATCAGCGGCTGATGCTTTTCAAGGACGTCCTTCGTATGAGCCTGCTGCCAGCCCACCTTATATAAGAAGTGAAGAAAATTGTGATGAGGTGCCAGCAAAGACACAAACGTGCAGGACCCCCAAGACACCCCCAAGACCCCAAGCTTCCAGTTCAGCAGTGGCAAAAATACCACCCCCTCAAGGAACCAGTACAGAGGTTCATCGAGAAGAAACCCCAGATCCAACCATTCCTTCCAGTTCAGATTCTCACAAGAGTCAAGAAGACAACCATTTTCCCAAGGAAAATGAAAACCCACCTGCTAACATTCCTGAATCCACACCCCAGCCCTCCCTCCTCCCCCTCCTCCTCCTCCTCCCCCTCTTCCTCTTCCTCCTCCTCCTCCTCCTCCTTCTTCTTCTGTTTACGACTGCACTTTTTGCTCCAAATCATTTGAAAATCCAGCCTTACTGGAGTCCCACCTGCAGCTTCACACAAAGCCTCCGGAAGCTTTCATGTGCAAATACTGCGACAAACAATTCACCACCTCCAACAGGCTGGACAAGCACGAGCAGACCTGCATGAACTCCGACCGTCTCCCCCTTCCTGGTGGAAACCAACCGAGCTTTTCATCTCCAGATGGAAAAACTGAAAGTTCCTACAAGAGTCCCGAAATGCAGTCATCTGAGAACAAGGTGGGGGAACATTCTGGCACAAGCCGGCCCTTGCCAGACGTAGAGCATACAGTGAAGGTCGTGGACGGGCAGATACTCTACACGTGTGTCGTGTGCAAGCGCAGTTATGTAACTCTATCCAGTCTCCGAAGACACGCCAACGTCCACTCGTGGAGAAGAACGTACCCGTGTCACTACTGTAGCAAAGTGTTTGCTTTGGCAGAGTACAGGACCAGGCACGAGATCTGGCACACCGGAGAGAGACGGTATCAGTGCATCTTCTGCCTTGAGACTTTCATGACTTACTACATCCTTAAAAACCATCAGAAGTCTTTCCATGCAATTGACCATCGGCTTCCCGTGAATAAGAAGACAGCCAATGGAGGTCTGAAGCCTAATATCTATCCTTACAAGCTTTACAGACTGCTGCCTATGAAATGCAAAAGGGCTCCCTATAAGAGCTACAAAAGTTCTTCCTATGAGCATTCACAAGAAAGCAGCCAACCCGGTGAGCCTGTTCCTAGTTCCTGCATTATTAAGAATCCGAGAAGCTCTGAACTGCCTGCTTTAACTCTCCAAGACAATGTGAATATGCTGTCACATAGCCCAGCCACTTCACCCAATGCCCCTTCAGGTAAAGAAGCCCACCAGGCTACAGATCCTCAAAACGGGGCCTTGTGGGGAGGAGGAGCAGCAGCAGCAGGAGGAGGAGGAGCAGGAGGAGGGCTGCTGAGCCCTGTTAAAAATAACTTTAGTCCTGCTGAGAAGCCAGTTCCCTCAGGGGGAAGAAGTCTTGCTTCTGGCTCACAGGGTGGAGGTGATGTGACAATTCCATCCTACAGTAACGTCAGTGAAAATGCCACATCGGTCATCAGCTACAGCAGCTCAGCCCCCTCTGTCATTGTTCACAGCAGCCGGGTTTCCTCGGTGATAATGCACAGTAATACAGTCACTGCCATGACAAGCAGTAATGCCATCTCTTCAAACACTGCTGTTAACCATTCCCCGAGAGATGACAGTAAGCATGCTGAGAGCTTTGGCAAAATCCCTAGCAAGATCAAAAGCATTAAGGAGAAGAAGAGAGTTATGCCCTACAACAGGGGAGAAACATTTGAGGAGGCAAAGTATGCCACCAGTTCTGGAGGTCCTTCGAGTAAAACCACTAGCGTTATTGAGGAAACTAGTAAAACCGAAACATACATTGCAAAACCCGCCTTGCCTGGGACATCAACCAACAGTAACGTTGCACCTCTCTGCCAGATAACAGTAAAAATCGGCAATGAGGCTATTGTGAAAAGACACATTCTAGGGTCCAAACTGTTTTATAAAAGGGGGAGAAGATCTAAACACGAGGCTCAGGAAGACAGTGATACGGAACGGAAAGAGAGCAGTCCAGCCAGGCTGAGCCGATCCGAATGTGTGGAAATGAGTGAAATGTTTGATGATGGCAGTGACCAGGATTCCACGGACAAGCCATGGCGCCCATACTACAATTATAAACCCAAGAAGAAATCCAAACAATTAAAGAAAATGAAGAAAGTCAAGTGGAAGAAAAGACATGGAAACAGGAGCCCAAGCGGTGAACAATACACAAACTCAAGTGACGGAGACGCTCTTGTCAAAAAGAGCCCTAAGGAAAAGGTCATTGAAGGAGAAGAAAATAAAGAGATGCCCAGCCTTCACTGTGAGCTTTGTATTGGGGATAAAGCATCTGCTGGACACCAAGGACAAACCCATTGGCATCATACCACATCCAAGCCTCATGCTTGCGAACTATGCCAAAAGCAATTCCAGAGTCCTTCCAACCTCAAAATGCATATGAGATGTCACACTGGAGAGAAGCCTTACTCTTGCAAAACATGTGGAAGGTGTTTTTCCGTTCAAGGGAACTTACAGAAACATGAACGTATTCATCTTGGGGTCAAAGAATTCATCTGTCAGTACTGTAATAAGGCATTCACTTTAAATGAAACCCTCAAAATCCATGAAAGAATTCACACGGGGGAAAAACGTTATCGTTGTCAGTTCTGTTTGCAGAGCTTTCTGTATCTGTCCACCAAAAGGAATCATGAGCAGAAGCATATCCATGAGCATAATGGAAAGGGCTATGCCTGCTTTCAGTGCCCCAAAATTTGCAAAACAGCAGCTGCCCTGGGGATGCACCAAAAGAAACACTTGTTCAAAAGCCCCAGTCAGCTGGAGAAAAAAGAGGGCGGGGGCAATGAAATCTCTAAGCCTTTTGAGAGTCAACATTTCACTGACTCGGGTGGAAACAAGATGAAGGAAACCCTACATACTACGTCTGAAGATGTTCTCCTTTGATTGACAGTGGTGGGAAACCCACTAGACAATGATTTTCTTTTTCTTTTTAGGTAACAGACATAAATGGGTGAAGTATAGAGGAAATTCAAATTTGTATAAGTTTCTGAAACATGACACTTTTTCTTCCTGTTCATAGGTTTCAGCATTAACTATAAAAGCAAAATGCACCAGAACATAAAAACTGAGGCTTTGTATTCCCCAAGTATCATGAGAGGGTAAATGATATTCTTAGCTACAATACTTCTGCCAGTGGGTACTTTGTAATTTCAAAAGAGAACGAATCAGCCTCACACATTTTTTGTTGAGCGTTGTTAGAAGCTGCCAAACTGGCTATGAAATACTGAACTTGAATCACTTTGAAGAAAATAAAAGTTCAGATGCCACGAGAATGTCAACTTCACCAGTGTGTTAAAAGGTGAATGAAATATGTCATCAATGCTTTTTTTCCCCTGTCCAATTTCAATACTGTTAAAATTTTCAAAAGATAAACTTTTGATATTGGATGAAATTCTACATGGTTGGGGGGAAATTATGAGAGGAGTAACCTAAAGAAAAGCATTCATTCATCTTTTCTTGTAAAACAAATCTTGTAAAAAATAATATAACCCCATAGTTTTACACTGTCCATGTTCAGTTAGAAAATGAAAGTGATGGAGGGAAAGTAGGTCTACAAATGAGAATTTAGGAAAAATTGATAAAGGGTATTTTCGGTATGGCCAAATACCTAACAAGAATACAGTGTGCGCTACTGGATAAAGTTCTCTTGAAGTTATGGCTGATCAACTATGGGGATCTTGACATCAGTGGTCTACTTGGTATCTCCCAAAACATGTTTTACCACACTACTAAATGTACCAGCAATTACTTAAACTGCATATTGCTTCGATTTAGCTTTAGAACGTCTCATCTCACCTCTGAGGTGAAGAAGAGTCAAATTTGGCTGAACATGTCTGCAGTCTTCCAGGCACCATTCAAATCTCAGAAGGCTACCATTTCAAGGCAGACCCATCCAATCTCAAGAGCTCAAATGAAATGGGACTTTCCCAGCTCCACTGGGCAAGTAACTGAAATGCTTCAAGAAAGGTGAGCTTGTGGTCGTAAACTGCCAAGCATTTGATTGTGCCACAACGCCCAACTCCTACCGCCGTGGAAAGACTGGGTAGTCTATGTGAGCTACCTTGCAAGAGTGAGATACTTAGGGAAACTGTAGAATTTCTATCTCCACTTATCACCTAGGATGGCCAGAGGAAGTGAGGCCCTTAGTCCCCTAAATCCAAACATTAGCACTATTGTACTCCTGGACAATGTGTGTAAAAGTGGGATGTTGAATGATTAAAGAGGCTTACTGCTCCCCTACTTATCTGACTCCTGTGAAATTGAACCACCGATCTAGATGCCTCTCTTCAGTCTTAGGTAACAGATACCTTGCCAGAGACCTCTATGTGTCCCCTAATATCATTTCCAGGTGACAAGCACCCTTAACATTTTCCCCCAAAGACTGACTAGTTGCTGCACCTACTTGTCAGATTAAAGAGGTTCACATTGTTTCTTCCCCAGAAGGTGTAGGACTCCCCGATTCTGACTTTCCGCACCTGCCAGAGAGGGGGGATACATTCCTGACCTGTCTCCTCACATAAAATCCACATCTATAAGCCACCAGCCAAGAGCTCAAGGGATGCCCTGCAATCCCTGACATCAACCTGGAGTGCACTGGGCCCTCCAGTACGGTACCTGGCACGGTCATCTGCAGGAGGATCCCGAGGGCATTCAGCCCTTCCCTTTGTGCTGCTCTGAAGTCTCTATGAAGAGGACTTTTGTTCCACTGGGTGGGCAAGAATGCATCTTAGCAATCCAGAGAAGGATGGGATGGAAACTGACCTTTCATTTTGTAGTGCTTTGCTATTTAATAACCACAATACTGCAGCCTCATTAGCCTCCTGTTTCCATTTTCACTTTCATGCAGTATTATAAAGGGCAAAATACAAGTGAATTTACATGTTCTTTTATACATAACATACATGCACTAGTCATTTACTTTGGGTTTTGTTTAAAAAGTTTTGTAAGAGTCAGAACTAAAAGGTCTTTGTTGAAATAATACCTACAGTATTGAATAGTTAATCTTGTGGTCCACTGATTCACACTACCCTAGATGAGGGCTATGTGTCCAGGAGAAGTATTTTGTTTCATTAGTTCCTTTGGCTTCAGACAATGCAAGTTGTGAAGTCACTATTATCAGTAGTGAATTCTTCCAGTCTGCACATGTGGGATATTTTCTAAGTGGACTTGTATGCTGATAATTCTAGACCAAAGTAAATATGGCAGAATATTTATACATGAAAAGATAATTTTACAGATATTTTCTATAATTGTATCATTCATAAATAAAAATAAAAATGAAATGCTGATAGCTTGTGTTCGTTTGGGGGGAGGGTTGTATATTTTGATTAAAAAACAAAACAAAACAAAAAAAACACCAAACCTTGACTTTGTAATTCTGTATATTCTATACAGTTTCTAGCAGAGCAGTTTTAAGACAGCATCTTAATGTTTATAGTCAATTGTGGAAATCTTATTTTAAGTCCTATGTTAAAGTAACGAGTCGAGTACCAATGACCAAATTAGAACTGACATAAATGTAAACTGAACATATCGTATGCTGTACATGATATAGACTGTCACTTGCTATGTTATAGCATCTGTATTTTGTTTAGAAAATATTATTAAATGCAGATGTAAAGGATTGGAAAAAGTCTAATTTTATTTTTAGAAAGAATGAATATAAACTTGGTTTTGCTTGATTAAAAGCTGGCTTATTCTGATTTCTAGTCTCTTTTTAAATATCTCGAATGGTCATTCTTTTGCACCAGTGGGCACTATGCTTTTACAGACTGATGTTGAACATTTGACTTGCCTGCTGTATTTCTATTTCCTTGTTTGTTCATGCATAGTGAAATGGTAACATGGCAGTGACCTTCCAATCTAGGACTAAGGAGGAACGTGGCATTTTTAGAAGGTGGCACCATGAAAGACAAAATACTCCGGTATTTTGGTTAATCTTTAAAGTATGGTCCATTGCACAGAGGTGTTTGATAAATGTTGGAATGAATGAATAAATGAAGATGCTAATACATGATTATTATTAAGTTAGTGTTTATGTTGATGGGTATGGCAGGGTGGCGGGGGTTTGAAATACTCTGTGATTCTACTTTGCCTGGCTCATCAGGGACTTAAACAGTTTACCAGATGACAGTACACAGTTTCTTATTTGTACTCCTCTTCCATATTTGGATCGGGCCTAACACATAAGTGATGAAGTTTTTCCAAACTTCGTATTCATACATGAAAATTTTATAAATCACTTCAATAAGTACATTGTTTAAAAAAATTGATCTTTGTCAACACTTGCTAATCCTTCTGGGGTTGTTTTTTTCAAATCACTGAGGTTTTTATTTCTCTTGCCAGTCTTCCTTTTCTACCTCATAGATAATGGCCCTATATAGTTCTGCTTCCTACATCTCAGTAACTCCTAAAAGCATGGAAGGATGTTGAACAATTCATCCACCTCATTTTTTTTTCATATCTGAAAGTCCCTCACCTCCAGCTATTCTGGCCTTCTGCACTGCCTTCCTTCCAGAGGAACAGTTGTCCTTGGCCAAATCCCTGGGCCAAGCAGAGCAATGCACAAGACTGCCAATGTTGTATGCGTTTATTTGCTCAAAATACATTTAAGTACTAAAGAAAAAACTTGTTGTAACAGCAACATGGTATATGTGATACATAAAAAGTCTGACATTTAGATCTATCAGTGAATGACTTTCTGAGGCATCTAATGTTTTACATTTTTTTCCAGCACCTTGAGAATTTCAAAGCATTTAATTGATTGGGGAAAGATGGGATGGAATCAGATCTTTGTGACAGGCGTGATTATCTGACTGGTCTTTTGTTGGTATAAGTAACTTTCCACTAGACATAGACGACTCCCTCTACCAATGCTGACTGGCGCCTTCTCTATAAGGTCTAGTCTTACAAAGTTGCTTGGAGGTTAACTACTTACCTAGAGTCACACAGCCAGTGCCTCAGAAATAAGACCTTGACTCTCATTGTCCTCACTCCAAGGACAGCTTTCTAGCCCTTTAGTCACAGGACCTAAATCATTAATTTAAATAATTTTGAAAAATGCCCAACTAATTCTCTTCCTTCTGAAGTTTTATTTTCGTGCTCTGCCACAACGTGAAAATGGCACCCTTGGATTATCAAAGGCTACATCCACAGAGCCCAAGCCCTGCCAGATCCTATAAATCCTTGAAAAAATTTGAAAAAAGGGTTGGCAAAATCTGTTATTATCTGCGAACTAGCCTAGCTAAGTTCAGAGGCCTATCACCAGAAGTTGGGACACTAGGGAATGGATTTTTTTTTAACCACAGAAATCCATGAAGACTATGCACAAATATGTGAATCGCCTTCTATCTGCATCAAAAGAGGGGAAAACCACACTGATGGAACCTTTGGGGGTTTCACAAAACAATTATGCCATGTGCAAGGGGAAGAGGCAACTGTGTGGTAGCGAATTCAAATCCTATCTTAGATACATTCCTATGACTCTGGTCAAGTCGTTCAACCTGTCAGTGCCCCCAGACAACCCTCTAAGACTCAGTTCCAGTTCTGCTTATGTGGAAGGAATTTCCATATAGGGCATTGCAATCATAAGCCTGGGACAGACCCCTAAGATGTGCAAGACACCGTTGGCTAGTAAAGCTACAAGCATTTAAAAAAAAAAACAAACAGCCCAACCTTTACAGATCTTCCACTCCCCTAGTAAGTAGAAATAATGTTATGTAATTGATAGCAGATACTAATATCCCTATTAGGTGAGTGAGGCAAACAGGAAAAAGTGCTGATAAATCATACTGGGCTTTATCTACCTTTAAAAAAAAAAGTGGTCTCATATCATTTGATACTCATGAGAATTCTGTGAGATTTGACTAATGAAGAAACTGATATAAGGAGGATTGAGGTGCTAAGGACCCACAAGGAGCCAGTGGCCAACTTCAGAAACATGCATGGTACAAATTGGTCTCTTCTTTAGGGGTCCTCTGAACTGATGCCTTTCATGTGGTGGATCTAGAAAGGTGCTCTGATCAGTCTAAAGCAGGAAGCCTTTAGTATCTTTTTCTTTATCTAGCGACCATGAGCAAGTCAACTAATCTCAGTATCCCAGGCAACTCTCTGCTCATAAATTTCATGAGAAGTGTGATTAACACGGGTGAAGGGATTTTTCCATAACAGGAGTTCCATAGACAAGTCAAGAGGGAAATGAATGTGTCCACATTTCTGTGACATTTTTAAGGATTGTAGAGTGCTTTCCCCACAACAGTCCCATGAAGTAAAACTGTAAGTATTGTTCCCATTTAACAGGAAACATCCTCAGAGAGGTTAAGTGATTTGCCCTCAGTCATGCAGTAAGAAGAGCTGGGATTTAAACTCAGATGTCTGACTATAGGTTACTCTGTCCAAACCTCACCACAATGACCCGTACTACCAAGTCAGAAAAGTGGCACCTAAGCAATTGGTCAAGTGGGCAGCTCTTGACCAGCTGGCTAAGTGGCCACCCTGCCTATTTTGTTTTGGGGCATGAGAAGCCTGGACAACCACCTGTTATACATAGACCATTCTTCCTCAAGCCTGAGAGCAGAGCAGATCTGGCTTTGGCTTTAAAGTCTTAGGGTAGATGAGTTCTTTGCCATGAGTAATGAAGGCTAGTAGCTGCCCTCCTTCAGAATCAGGAAGTCACCATCTTCTCTTCCCTAACACCCACCTTTAACAATTCAAGATGGCTCTTCAGGTCTTAGGACCAGTTCATCTCGGACCTTTCCATTTGACATCACCAAAAACTCATTTTCACATGTTCATTTTTGTATTATTGATATTGTTCATGACCTTCTGGACCAACATCGTCCATGGAGTTTTCTTTGCAAAGATCCTGGAGTGGTTTGCCATTTCCTTCTCTAGTGGATTAAGGCAAACAGAGGTTCAGTGACTTGCCCAAGGTCACACAGCCAGTGAGTGTCTGAGTCCAGATCTGAACTCACGTCTTCCTGACTCCAGGCTTGGCACTCTAGACACTGAGCCACCTGGCTGCCACCTGGGATTGTTGATTGCTGTGTAATTATTAGTGGGAGTTTAAAAAAGGACCATTATAGCCTATAGAGACCAGGAGTACTTTTCATGTCATGGTTTGTCTGGCAGTTCGGTGACACCTATGGATCCCCTTCTCTAAATAATATTTTAAATCCATAAAATAAAATACATGAGATTATGAAGGAAACCCTTTATATTTAAATACAGATATAAAAATATTTTATGAAACCAATTCATGGACTCCAGGTTGAGAATCTTTCATCTTCAGTGGGGACCTGAGTTCAAGACACTTGACACTTACTAGCTGTGTCACCCTGGGCAAGTCACTTCACCTCATTGCCTTGCCAAAAAAAAAATTTTTTTTAAAGAAAAAGAATCCCTCAACTTGTCCTTCAAGAAGTAGTTAGATAGTTCAGGGGATAGAGTGTTCATTTTGGGGGTCAGGAATACCTGAGTTTGAATCTTTCTTCAGGTATTTACTAGCTGTATGGCCTTGGGCAAGTCACTTAACCTGTCTCAGCCTCGGCTTTCTCCTCTGTAAAAGGGAGATGATAATAGCACCTGCCTCACAGGCTTGTCGGGAGGATCAAGAGAGATGCTATCCATGAAGCATTTTGTAAACCTTCGAGTGCTATAAAATTGCTAGCTAGTCTTATTCTCCAGATGAGGAAACTGAGGCACAGAAGGGTAAAGTGATAATGGCCAAGATTACACAGTTAGTAAGAGAATCCAAACTTGAATTCTTGTTCTCCTACTCTAAATCTGATGCCCTTTCTGTTACTTCGCATTGCAGTGGAAGTTCAGGGATGGTGCGCAGAGCAAGAAAATGTTCTATCTGTAGCAATGGCTTCTAAGAAATAATTTCTTTGTTGGTCTAGATAGGATAAAGACTCAGAACTTAGTTTGTCCCCTTCTTATTCCGTGTAATGAAGCGTCTCTCAACCACAGACCTGCAAATTGGAACCTTACAAAATTTGCAACCTCAGCTTCACTTTCAGAACCAGGAGCTGAAAGAAAAAGCAAACTTATACTAGGGGTTACATTTGTTTTTAAGATAAACACCCAGATCCTTCTTAGAGTTAGTCGTTATTCAGCCCCTCCTGCCTCGGCCACCTTCAACATCCATAGATTGTCCGTTCATGGAGAGAATGACCACGGAGGGCCCTGCTCTCCACTTCAGAAGCAGATTCAATAATGTTTCACAAGTCCTCCCTTTTTCCCCGTTTACATTTCACCACTCCGTTCAAGGCTGCTTAATAAATCCAGGGTGCCTCAATCTCTTCGTGCAACTTTGATAGCTTAAATAAGCTTCTTGCCACCTTTACCAGGTCATCCAGTTCAATAGTTTCCACCACTAACACTGGACATATCGATAGAGGGGCAGCTAGGTGGCGCAGTGGATAGAGCACTGGCCCTGAAGTCAGGATGACCTGAGTTCAAATCTGGCCTCAGACCAAACACTTGACACTTACTAGCTGGGTGACCCTGGGTAAGTCACTTAACTCCAATTGCCTAAAACAAAAGCAAAGACATATTGATAGAAACAAATTCACCTGCACATGCTTGTGTGTGTTCAGTTTGTTTGATGAGCTTTTCAGGAATTCAGTGCATCATAAAATTAGGAGGTGAACAGTTTCCTCAACTGTAAAATGGGAATAATAACAGTACCTACCTCCCAGGGTTGTTTCCAGGATCACATGTGATACTTGTAAAGTTCTTAGAACAGGGACTGACACATTGTATTCACTTTTAAAGATCTAGTTTCCTTTCTTTCCTTCCTACTTACCCAGCTTTATCTCATAAAACTCCATCTCACACCTGTTTTCAAGCCAAATTGAACTTTTCTCCATTCTCTGTTCTAAATCTGCTCCAGCTCCTCTGACACTAGCTATGTGACTTCTGCAAGACACTTAACCTCTCTTGGCCTCAGTTTTTTTCATCTGTAAAGTAGGAATGATGATATCTCTGGTATTTACTTCAAAAGGCTGTTATGAG